AATTCTTCACGAAGGGCGAACTGAGGCTGGGAGCTAGTGGGCAAGTTTACCTCACAGACAGTAGAATCGGGATTGGAATTCAGCACTCCCAACCACCAGACCAAGGCCCTGAAAAAGAGGAGGATAAATGCATAGACTGGGATTTGGTAAAACCCAAGAATGAAAAATTGTATAATTTTACCAATTGCAATAGAGCACTGCCTAATGAGGGCTTTGGGGCCAGAGAACCTGACTCAAATCCTAGTTACCCACTAACTGGACAAATGATTTACCCTTCTAAGCCTGGGCACAGGGAATAATCATTTCTACATTAGCCAATGTTTATTGGGCTCTTGCTATGAGCCAAGCACTATGTTCAAGCAAATTAAGTATATTAGCCTTAAATTCTACCTCATAAGTCTGAATTATCCCAGAGAGTTCTCAAAAAATCTACTATTATTTGGTCAATAATTAAAGAATAAAAGTTTTTTTAATTAATTTATGTTGAAGCTCTAATTGTCTTTTTTTTAATGTGCCCTTGACTGGAATCGAACCCAGGACCCTTTGATTCACAGGCCGACGCTCTATTCACTGAGCCAGACCGGCTAGGGCAAGAATAAAAGTTTTAAATAACAATCTCTAAATATTTATAAAATGTATGAGAAAACATTTAAATTATTAATATGATCAGGTACACTATCTTTTAAGTTATGATGAATAAACTTTAAAATTTAAGGTTACACGGTGAATGAATACTCTCACCGAACAAAGATGCTCTCTTCAAAATATCTCTTAATCCCTAACTGGTTTGGCTCAGTGGATAGAGCATCGGCCTGCGGACTGAAGGGTCCCAGGTTCGATTCCGGTCAAGGGCATGTACCTTGGTTTCGGGCATATCCCCAGTAGGGGGTGTGCAGGAGGCAGCTGATCGATGTTTCTCTCTCATCGATGTTTCTAACTCTCTATCCCTCTCCCTTCCTCTCTGTAAAAAAATCAATTAAAAAATATATATCTCTTAAGTGTTGAAAGATTTAGTTTCATTTCCGATTCCACTTCCTTGCTCTGCCATGTGGGCTTCCTTTAAAGCACAGGTGCACCTTAGAAAAGACACTCAGTACCCGGGACATAGAACCGCCAAATGCAAAGTCTTTCTAGCACTTTCCACTGAGTAAGCAGGCCCATAGGCTGCTGACTTTTTCCTCACTCCTAGGATAGGGTGAGACAGGTCTTTATATAGTTTTAGTTATTATTTATTTTAAAGATAGGTACAAAAAATACCTTAAAATAGAAGACTCGACAGATTACTCTTTCTATGCTTATTTCCCAGAAGAAATCCAACAGGTAGCCAGCGATTACCTCAGCCACATCATGAGACTGTCTCTTTCACATCTTGGGGCACCTCGCAGGCTGATGCTTTTTGGTGCCTTCTTCTCTGCCTCTCTGTGTTTCACAAGGAAAATACACTGACCCAGCTCAGCACTTTTCTGAAAGACCCAAGCGTTTTGCCTCTGAACTCTGTTCTTCTCCTAAGGCTGACCTAGGACAAGAATAATGTGTATGCTCTGATAACTGACAGTTGCAACCATGATACTATGATGCCCTGAAGAGATTAGAATATAGAAGTCCAGGCCCTGGCTCAGATGGTAAGAGTGTTGTCTGGATATGCCAAGGTTGCAGGTTCCATCCCTGACCAGGGCACATACAAGAGACAACCAATAAATGCATGAATAAGTGAAACAACAAATCTCTCTCTCTCTCTCTCTCTCTCTCTCTCTCTCTCTCTCTCTCTTTCTCTCTCTCCCCTCCACCCCGTCATCTTTTTCTAAAACCAATAATATTTTTTTAAAAAGAAGTCCAGAGCTTAAATTTTGAGGAGTGAGCTAAGAAGTGATTCTAGGCAGAGGACTTACTAAACTGCATTATAAAGTACTATTAATTAGCATATTCATTTGATGCCTCCATTTTAAATCTCTAATGTTCTCATAATGCTGTGAAGGCTTTTTTTTTTTTTTATTGATGGCTGTTCCAAATTCTAAAGCTCAAAACAAGGTGAGGAGCAGAAACATAATGGCATGAGTTTGGGTTACTGTTAACTGAAACAGATGCAAAGGCATGCTTCCCTTTGCGAAAGTGAAATACTTGCCAAGTGGATGAATTCAATTACAATTTACATCACGGAAAGTTTCTCCTTCTTAAGGAAAAATGTCACTTCAGCATTTAATTAATTAAAACTAACTTTAAAATGGAAGTCCATAGGAAAATGTACTTATATTTACAAAAATTAGATGCACATAACTTATCAGAAACACATCCCAAATTAGACCCATTGGTATGGGTTATGGGAGGCAGCATTGTTACATGACTTCACTCACAGGCCTTGGTGTCTTCAAAATCAGACCCAAAATTGGGCTCTGAGCACTTGGCAGGAACCCCAATATCTCTGAGCCTCAAGATCATATTCAAAAGAACCATTTCTGTGAAGAGTCTAACCTTTACAACCTTTATAGCATTGCAATGAGGATTAAATTTAAAGCTAGTATGTATAGGAACATTTAGCCAGTTTCCCAGCACATTCTAAACATGCAAATAAAATAGTAAAAATGATTAATACTACAAAATGTAGAACTAAAATGACACCTTTGATAAGAATATTTGCTAAAAAAACATTGTCTTCACACATCTGAAATGCTTTCAATCCACTAATTTCAGGTGAAGGCATCCAACTTTCAATTTTCCTTTGTGGTCTGTCTCAAATAGTAACAATGAATAATTTCAGGAGGCATCCAACTTTCAATTTTCCTTTGTGGTCTGTCTCAAATAGTAACAATGAAAACCATGTATTGAGAGGATAACCTGCTGTCTGCATGACTTTTCAACTCACTGAGTACCCCAGTGATCCCCCCGGGGCGGGGGGGTGGCATTATTAGCTCTGTTCCAGATGTGGAAACTGAAACTCAGAATTTACATCAGCTGCCCCAGTTAATCCTGCTACACATGAGCATGTTAGGTTTTCAACCCAGTTAGCCCACCTATGCTCATGCTCTTCAACTCTACTTTATGCTGGAAATAAAAGGGGATGGTAGTGGGGAGGGGAACTGAGAGCCTATTTCTTACTTTAAATAAATTAACCTAGGGCAGTGGTTGGAAAACTGCAGCTCGCGAGCCACATGCGGCTCTTTGGCCCCTTGAGTGTGGCCACGAAGTTTCAATCGCACTGTACGTGCGCGCCCGCACGTGGTATTTTGTGGAAGAGCCACACTCAAGGGGCCGCAGTTTGCCGACCACTGACCTAGGGCAATAGTTCTCAATTTTTTTTTGGAATCAAAATATCTTTGCACTCTAAAAAAATGTATTGGGGATATCACAAAACTTTTGTTTATAGGGGTATATTAATTGATACTTCTGTATTATATAGTATAAATTAAAGCTAAAAGATTGCTTATGTTTAATTACTTATTTAACTTTAAGTAATAATACCACTTAAAAAACAACTTATTTATCTAAAGAATAATGGTAATAGAATAATAAATAAGCACATTACATGTGAACACACATTTTTTGTAATATGTTTGTTTTCCAAAACAAAACGTTTTAGTGAGAAGAGTTAAGGAGGTTTGCTTCTGCATTCATTCTGTTGCACTCACTGAGTCCTCATGAGACCACGAAAGTGAAAAGGGAAAATAACACCTTACTATTAGTATGAAAATCGTTTCACCACTGGAGCCTCTGAAAGATCTCAGGGACCCCCTCAGGTCCAAGCTCACACTTTGAGAATCACAATTGAGGTAAAACCTGTAAGCGAGCTGAGTTCTAGTGCCAGCTTCAGTCTGTAGTGACAACCCAAGTTCATCTTTCAACTACCTGCTCATCCACAACGTGTCTCTCTACACTGTTCTGGAGAAGAATGATGAAAATTTGTCATCTCTAGGTAATAATAAACATTGAGTGGGGAAAGATTTAAAGGCAATAACATCACTTGGCTAAAACAAAAAATGTTATAGAAAATGTGTCAGATATATATTTGGTTAGCTCTCTCTTCGGAGACAAAAATTAGTGTATTTTTATCTTTACAGAATGACAACCCTTTGTTGCACAAATGAAATGTAATTGAAGTGTCATTCTATTTTTCTGGCATTAACCAAACTAAATCTGTTATATTGCGGAAGTAAAGGTACTTGTCAAATATTAGCAGACATGTATCCTAATAAAATAAAAGGTACCAGGAGACCATCGGAAATCTTACACAAGATGAGAACATCTTATAAAATATTTAGGTAGTATTTAGACATGGAAGAAATTGAATCTAATGATTATTTATGAGATTGCATCTTCAAAATGTTTTGGCTAAGAAATACAATTTTTATTCCTTGCTTCAATCCAAGCCCAGGAATAAGGTATTTGTAAAGCATATTTGGTTTTGTTAAATCATGTATTCAAGTGTGCGTTGCATTAGCATACTATTTCTAAATGGGAAAATGATGGTTGTGAGGCACTGTACTCATTCCTGATCATTTTTAAACTTAAAATAGTACCATAAGTGTTCTAGAAGGATGGTGCCCTATTTCACAGATAAGTTAGCAAAGCTGAAGAACTGAAGAATGATCATTTCAGTAGCAACATTGCACCGAAAGGAAAAACATCCCATTTTTTTAATTGAAAATATTTAGTGAAAGAACACTTACACTAAAACAAAGTTTGATCTCCATTGCCCATTGCACCATTCCCCACAATAAGCATCTGACTGCAAATTATGCACAAGTCACACATGCATCGTCGTTTTCAGATGCTGGATTTGATGAGAGAGGAAGCATCAGTATTAACATCAATTTCAACGTGTTCCTCTAACATCAATTCCTGTTGGGTATTTTACACAGACTAGAGGTACTATTTTCCTGCAAGTTTATTTTTCTAACATCCAGAGACTCTGAGGAAAAGGAAACATCAAGTTTCCTCAGAAAAGAGCTGCATGTTTACAGAACGCCTTGCCGAATAGCACTGAGAAGGTTTCTCGGTTCCCTCAGGTGCTTTGCAGCAATAGCCTGCTCGAGTCTACAGACTACTGGTTGCAGAATCAGAGGACACCCTGCCAGATTGGGTTCGTGGAAGACAAGTCCGAAGACACAGCTTGCGCTTCCGTAAGTAGATACAACCCGGGATATGGTCCGAGAAAGCAGGGAATCCGGCTCAGGGACTCGTGCTCAGAATAGGAGTTTCCTAATTCATTAAAGATGAGGTCTCCTCTGGAAAATCCGTACTGGTTAATATGGACTCTTAATAAAATGCACAGAGCTCACTTCTCTATTCCAATTCTGCTCATTTCAACAGGTTAATTAATCTGATCAGTGATCGAGAAGGGAAAAACCATGTTTATATTTCAAAACTGACAGAGAAAAAGATTCAGAAACAGAATTGTATGATGAGAAATAACAGGCCATGCAGGAGCTCTCTAGGATTCTTTTCAATATATTGTATAACTCCTGCTAGTGGGTTATTTCCCATCATGAAAATTGTGTAACATTTCTGTACCATTTTTATAAGTTACAGTCATTGTTTGAAAACCTTTTCAACCCAAGAAGTGTACAGGCATGAGTTTTAATATACTGGAGTTAAGCTTTATATACAAAACCTTCCTTTTCAAGGGAAGAGATGTTCTTATGGCTTAGAATGTGAGTGCCTACGGTTGTTGTGTAATATGCTCCTTCCTCTATGTCCTACAAGGCTCTATGTTTCATTTGAATTGAAACCGCCGAGCTCTTATAGGGTCATGATTACAGAGATCGGGGGAGAACATTTTCCAAAAGGAAAGCAATGTAATTCTCATGACTAAGTTGAGAGCATTAGCTCTGAGCTATTCCTGGAGGTAAGATGCATGCCAGCACTTCTGCTAAAAGAAAAAAAAAGCTGAAAATGGGATGGAGAAGTTTTTATATATAATGAGCAGAACCAGAAGAACTGGCAGATAGAGGATGTAAAACATTTCACAATGCAGAGCCTCACAGCACAAGGAAAGCGGAGTCCATTCAACAGACTTAATTTGATCTCTTGGTTTGGGCAAATGATTTGAATCTGCTACTTTGGGGATTTGATCCCTTGTCAAGAATACTAGTTGATGGCTAAAAATCTTTGGGGTAAACAAAAAGGATTAGGTGGAAAGTAATTAATAGTGATACCTTCCCTGCAAATTCAGTTCTGAGATGAGTTGGAAAATTCGGGCATTAGCCGATACTGATCTCTAATTACACAGTTATAAATTGTAAATGGAGAGAAATGGAGCGTGAACGATGTCAGCTATACTTTGGTCAAAGTTGTCATCCAAGCAGCTCCTGTATTAAGAAGTCTCCCATTTGAAGTTGGGGCACAAAATCTGTCTAGTGGAGGGCAAAGAGGTCTTCTCTACACTTTATGTTTTTGGAATCTGGATCGCTGATCTACAATTAGAAATGCTAAATTTATAGACAAATTTAAGATGACCATCGAACCCTCCTAGGTGAAAGAAAATCTCCTCCACCAATCCCAATGGACTCAAATTTGGACTTAAAACTCTCTGACTTCTTTTCTTAATTCTTTGGCCCTTTCTAGTGTCAGATGACTCAGTGAGGCTGAGCTGATTCATCCTGTCTTTGTGGTTCTTCCTATTCTTTCCAAAAGGGGAAACATCTAAGCACACATGAAAGGCATAGTAGAAGATTTGTTTCCCCACAATAGTTCACAGTCAATGAAACTGACACAAATGTTAAAAATTGTCCATGATTCTAAACCTAAATTTCAGGATCCCTTTGACCAATTAGCTCTGATCTCTCAAAAAGTATCCCATGGTCAGTTTCTTAACTTATAATTCCTTTCTCTTTTTCTCATTTGGACCAGATTTCTAGGATGGGAAGAAGAAACAGAGTCTGTAGTTGGGCGTTGCTAAGGGCAGTTATTATCAAAGGAGAAATAGAGGTGAACTATAAAGATGGCTGACCAGGACAAGGTATAAGAAAACTTGATCAAAATAGCCACACAGGAGTAGTCCAAAGAGTCAAGGGAAAGGTACTTAATTCCTTTTCAAAAAATTCTCCCACAAAAGAACTGTATTTTACAATAATATCATCATTATTAAAGTTTAACTTTTAAAAACTTAGTTTCATAAAATCATCCCAAATCTAAACCTACTTACAAATAATCACAGCAGAATCCGAGGAACCTGTAGCAATGTTGTCCCATATTTTATTGCTTTGTATTCTGTTCACAACTCTGGGGCACTCTGTTGTACATGAACCATTGCTTCTTTCACTCATTTCTTCCTGATCCACATTAGTGGCCAAGTTTTTCATATTTAATTTTGATTGACTTGGTACTCATTCTATGAACTACAAGTACAGTTTATGAATTTGCTGTGTCTTAGAACTAAGTACCTCAGTGAATCAAGGTTTCTGAGTTCAATATGCCATTTAAGAATTTTATTGACGGACAATCTCAGGCTTGGAAAGCTTTCAGGGTGTTGCGTGTGGGGCTCAGTATGGCTGTTTTTTCTTAAGCATCAAACAATGATTTTTAGTCATTATTTTGATAGGGAGCTGCATTCATTTCCCAGCTGAAATGCGAAGTCTTAGTGAAGAGCAGTTTGAAGCAGTCAGAATATGACAAGTATGCCAAACGGGGACTATCTGCCAGGAAGTCAGGAGCCCCCTGAAGGTCACACTTAACAGTTTTTCAAAAGGTAGCAAATCTGAAAACTGTGCTTATCTTTTAACTAAATAGCATTCTCCTATACAGCTATATGATTTTATATTCTTTCTGATTTGCCATTCTGGAAAAAAAAATTGTATGCTAGCCTTCTGGGTGTTTTTGTAACCTGATTATTTTTTTAAAGGAAATGTGGGTACTCTGATAAGTGCTCATCCAGTAATCTCCATGTCCCAGCCCCCCAGCCCCCAAAGTAAGAGCTTATTATTTAAGCACGTAAGCCTGAGTCAAATACGTAATGAAGTATTTATGGGTCTTGAGATTTTTGCCACTATAAATATAGTTGGGTGAATAGATCTGAGTGTACTTTTAAACCTGGGTGTTCATACCATTTCTCAACTGTTTTAAAATTTATTTTGACAGAATGCATTATTAAATAGCTCAGACTAGCTTTGAGTTTCAAATTTCATACAATTCCTGCTATTATTGTAATTTTCCTCTGAGTGGAAAGTCTGTCAAGAAAAACCGACAACAAACAAAGTTTCTCATTAAAATACCTTTAAGCTTTAAGGAATTTGGCTACATAATTTTGATTTCTTTTTAGTAGAATTATTTGTTTGCATTAACATGTCTTTCTTAATCAGTTCTCTCAAACTCCCAGGAAAACTAGTTAAAAGTGATAGCATTTTTTTTTCACAACTTAGAGTCTCAGGTTGAAGCATCCTATATAATAAAAGCCTAATATGCTAAGTGTCCAGTCGGACATTCAACCAATCAAAGTGTAATATACTAATGATATGCTAAGGTCACTCAACCGCTCGCTATGATGTGCACTGACCACCAGGGGGCAGATTCTCCAACAGGTAGGTTAGGTTGCTGCTGCGGTCCGGCCAATCGGGACTGAGCGAGATGGGCCAGACATGCCCTGGAGACCTCCCATGGCCCCTCCCCAGCTGGCCAACCTCCCGTGTCCCTCCCCGGCCTCTATCATGCACCAGTCAGGTCCCTTGGTCTGGCCTGCACCCTCTCACAATCCGGGACCCCTCAGGAGATGTCAGAGAGCCGGTTACGGCCTGATGGCGGAACGACTGGTCCCTATGATGCGCACTTACCACCAGGGGAAAGATGCTCAACACAGGAGCTGCCTCTGGTGGTCAGTGCACTCCCACAGGGGGAGCGCTGCTCAGCCAGAAGCCGGGCTCATGGCTGGCGAGCACAGGGGTGGTGGCGGTAGCCTGTCCTGCCTCCACAGCAGCGCTAAGGATGTCTGACTGCTGGCTTAGGCCCTCTCCCCATAGGGATCGGGCCTAACCTGGCAGTCAGATATCCCTCCAGGGCTCCCAGACTGTGAGAGGGTGCAGGCCGGGCTGAGGGATCCCCCCCCCCAAGTGCACGAATTTTGTGCACCGGGCCTCTAGTAAATAAATAAAGAAGAAGAAGAAATTTAAAAAAGGACCTGGCTAATGACCACTGTGGAATGTCTGTTTTTTAGTTAAGAGTATTATTTCTTTCTTTTGTAACAGTGAGACATGCTCACCCTAGAAGTTTCTTAGGAAATGAGATAGTGCTAAAAGCAGAATTTCTGCTTTTCATGCTTGGATAGTACACTCTTTTTGAGAGCAGAGACAACCCTCACTTACTATTCCAGATAGTACTCCACCCATCAGCTGGTCCATAGCATCTGTAATGATGGAATTAATGTAATTGCAGAACCTGGAAGCATTCAATGTACTTGGCAGAAGCACCTGAATGGCTGAAACGGGTGCAGGAAGTTTTCCCCTTGCTAAATGATGCCTTATCATTATCTATAATAATAAAAGCATAATATGCTAATTAGACCAGATGTCCTTCTGGATGTCCTTCCATCCTTCTGCATGAAGCCAGGGCTGCAAGGGAAGCCCGGGTCCCGAATGCCAGAGGGAAGCCGGTGTCAGCAGCAGGGGGAAGGAAGGCCTATTCTTGCACAAATTTCAGCCTCTAGTTTTAATATAACCATTAACCAGACAGCCTAAGTCAGCAGTGGCTCGGGTAGTTTAACTAGACACCCAGGATGAATTCTTCTAAAGCTGGGTATTTCAGCCTTGGACACTATGTTGTATTAGGCCAGGTGATTCTTTGTTGAAGGGCTGTCCTGTGCATTGAAGGATATTTAGCAGCATCCCTGGCCTCTGCTCCACAGATGCCAGCAGCACCCATGCTCCAGTCATTTGCCAGAACCTAGTGGTAGCACCAAGGTCAAATACCACTTGGTGAGTATTTATGCCATATGCTAAACAAACAGAATGCACTAGTATTCTCTTTTCTGCCAAGCTCACTGAACTTCTATTCGTGAAATTAGAGAAGCCAAGAGCTGGAATAAACCCAAGAAGATATATTGCCCATTTCACTCACTTTCCAGGTGAGAAAACAAAATAGCAATGCAGGGAAGGCTTGCTCAAGGCTACAGAGTAAATTAGTAGCAAGGCCA